GCAGGAATGAAAGCTGGATCAGGAATAAAAACACAGTACTTCTATTCCAGCCAGAAAATCACCATCCCCGCTTAAAAAGACATACACCACAATTTTGGGGGACGGGTGTGTATGATATGTAAGTAAATGTAGTGAACTATACAACTAATTTGCTCAGTCTGCTGAGAATTAGGAATTCAAAACAAGAGAATAATTACAGAATACCCTCCACACTGCATGTCAAGGGGCACACATTACTACTCTTTACTGCAGGAAAACTGTGAATTGGCAACAGTTATGCATATTAAAATTGTAAGCTTCCTTATGATACACATATTATATAAGTAAGTTGTTATACTACTGCAGCTCCAGTATTAAATGAAGATAATTATTCACAGTATAATCACATTATTCAAGCAGATTAAAAGACCAAAGTTGGAAAAGAATTTAGAAGTCAGTCACAGCACTAGACTGAACAAGAGAAAGAAATTTCACTATACCAAGGTGGTCCTGTTTTTTATAATTCCCCTCATTAATAAATCATAAAGTAGGTTAGACTAATGAAAATATTTACTTTTTCAGGCTATTTTATACTAGTTCCACTTATTATAAGGATATAAAATTATTTTTAATTTTGTTTCAGAATTTCTAAAATAAATGAACATGTTTACTTATTTTGCAGGAGGGGGTTGATTTTGTTTTGATTGATAATTGTCTGAAGAGAAGAAAAAGGATTTTTTAATTTCTGCTTAAATATCACTAGTATATGTAAGAAACAATACTTTTATTATCTGAAACAGCTTATTGCTGAAATGCATAGGAAAATGTTTTGAAAATCCAGCATCATGACCACAAATGTGACTACAGACCCTTTCAATGAGGGTCAGACAAAGCTGGTGAGTGGTTATTTCAAATACTTATTAAAGTGTAAGACTATGAAGTAATTTTTTACTGCTGGGAGTCCCAGTCTACCTAGGATAAGAACTGCTAAATTAAGAAGTCTAAGGCCATTGACAAGTGTTCATTTAAATGTATGATGAGAGCTCATCCCCGATCCCCACAATTGCACCTCTTGCCATGACATGGCATGGCAAAGAAAGCTAAAAACACCCAAATTCTGTAGGAAGGGTAGAATCTACAACGAACTCCATCACTACAGAGGCTATTTCAGTAAGAAAATTCTAGTTTCCAAAGAGTTAAAGGAACTGTTTAAGTGGTTAGAAATACTCCAAGTAGACAAGGCATGTTTAATGTACATGCAAAAGGCATTTTTCTCTAGTAAAAGATAGCAAAGAAACTGATTGTACCTTTATAAACAGGCATTTAAAAAAAAAAAAAAAAAAAAAAAATCAGGCTCAAGAAGAAACTCCTGGAATAGAAGTGAAAGGAATGGAAATGAAAATGATAATTCCATTAAATGTGGTCAAATAAAAAATAAAAAAAGTTTTTAAAAAAAAATTGTAGTCAAGCAAATTTTAAAACTGGTTGCTAGTAAGCACTCAAATCATATTAAAAGATGTAGTGAAAACCTGTATTTGTAAAGTACAAATAAAAGATAGTCAATATGGATCGAGGCACAGCAAGGCATTACTTTCTGAAAATATAGTAACAAATATCATCAGTGCTCTATGTTGCTAATAGCCACAGAATCATCGTTTTTAATGAATGAGAGTACTCCAGAATAGTCATACAGTAAAAAAACCAATTTTAGCACAACTAAACCTTTTGAGAACACAAAATTTACAGTTCTTAAACCTGTTAAATGAAAACAAAAAAGCCACATAAAGAAGAAAATTGAGAGAGACAGATGACAGTAAAGTTAGACTAGCAAATATTCCAGCTTAAATTGCTGCAGTGTTGATAGGTTTTATTAGTGTAGCAATGCAGTGCAAAATGGAAAAAAAAAAATATTTTGCAGAGCTTCAGCAATATTCAAACTGGTTGCTGGAATCAAGGACAATAAAAAGTCCTTCTTCAAATACGTGGGAAGTCAGAAAAAGAACAAGAGCAACATCGGACCCTTGCTGAACCAAATGGGGCAGCTGACAACCGACACCCAGGAGAAAGCTGATCTCAACAATTATTTTCCATCAGTTTTCCACCAGCAAAAGGGGATCACCTGCCTGACAGGATGCAGGGCTACCAGGGTAAGGACAATCATACACCTATAATTGGTGAAGATCTTGTGAGGATCTAGATTTGGGTGTCAGAAGCAGACTGGCCCAGTTCACAGATGACACTAAATTATGGAAGTGCAGTCACATTAGAGGATAGGATGGCAATTCAGGTTGACTTGGACAGGCTCACAAGGTAGGCGAATCAAAGCCTGATGACATTCAACACTGAGAAATGAAAGGTGCTCCACCCTGGGAGAAAAAACCCACATCATACTTATAGGCTTAGTAGCCTATAAGTATGGGCTCACTAGCACCATGACCAAAAGAGACTTCGGGGTCATGATCGGCCACAGGACGAACACGAGTCATCGATGCGATGCCGCAGCAAGCAAAGCAAATAAAACCCTGGCTTGCACCTATCAATACATCTCAAGCAACACCCAAGTCATCCTCCCGGTTTACTCAGCCTTGGTAAGGCCACAGCTGGGGTATTTCACCCAATTCTGGATTCCACACTTTATAAAGGATGTGGAGAAGCTTGAGAGAGTTGAGAAGAGAGCCACGCACATGATTAGAGGTCAAGAGAACAGGCCTTATGAGAAGAGGCTGAAAGGCATGGGACTCTTCAGCCTGGAGAAGCAAAGGCTTAGGGGTGATTTGGTGGCAGCCTATAAAAGGGGTGTGCATCAGGAACTGAGAGATCATCTGTTCACCAGGGCACCCCAAAGGAAATAACGGTCACAAACTGCTAGGAGACTGTTTTAGACTGGACATAAGGAAAAACTTCTTTACCATCCGAGTCTCCGTAGTTTCACAGTTGGTAGGATTGGAAGGGACCTGAGCAGATTATCAAGTCTGACCCCCTGCCATGGGCAAGCAAGAATGCTGGGGTCAAACGACCCTGACAAGGTGTCTATCTAGCCTCCTTTTAAAGACCCCCAGGGTAGGAGCGAGCACCACCTCCCTAGCAAGTTGGTTTCAAATCCTAGCCACCCTGACTGTGAAGTACTGCCTCCTGATATCTAGCCTGAATCTACTCTCAGTCAACTTGTGGCCGTTATTCCTTGTTACTCCCAGTAGTGCTCGGGGGAACAGGGACTCTCCCATTGCCTGCTGGTCTCCCTTGGCCAGTTTACAGACAGCCACCAGATCCCTTCTCAGCCTTCTCTTGTGGAGACTTAACAGGTTCAGGTCCTGTAGCCTCTACTTGTAGGGCCTGTCCTGCTGCCCCCTGATCATGTGAGTGGCCCTCCTCTGGACCCTCTCCATGTTGTCCACATCTCTCCTGAAGTGCAGCACCCAGAACTGGACGCAGTACTCCAACTGCGGCCTGACCAGTGCTGCATAGAGCAGGAGGATCACCTCCTTGGCCCTGCTGTGATGCATCTGTGGATGCATGACAAGATGCAGTTGGCCTTACTGACTGCGTCCTCACATTGGCGGCCCATGTTCATTTTGGAGTCTATAGTGACTCCAGAATCCTTTTCTGCCTCTGTGCTGATGAGAGGGTAGTTCCCCAGCCTGTAGGTATGCTGCTGGTTCTTTCTCCCTAGTTGCAGTACCCTGCACTTGTCAGTACTGAATCCCATTTTATTCTCATCCACCCTCCCCTGTAACCTGTCCAGATCCAATTGCAGCCTGTCCCTCCCTTCTAGCATACCCACTTCTCCCCACATCTTAGTGTCATCTGCAAATTTGAACAAGGTGATTTTTACCCCCTCTTCCAAGTCGCTGATGAAGATGTTGAACAGTGCAGGCCCAAGGCCCGAGCCCTGGGGGACCCCACTGCCCACATCCCTCCAGGTCGAAAATGACCCAACCCGTCCACCACCACAATCTCCCAATTTTTCAAATGAGAATGGGGTGAGAGACAGTGTCAAAGGCCTTCCTAAAGTCCAGAAAGACTACGTCCACTGTGACATCTGTGTCCAAGGATTTTGTGACCTGGTCATAGAAGGCCACCAGGTTGGTCTGACAGGACCTGCCTCCAGAGTCTGGAATAGACTCCCCCCAGAAGTGGTGCAAGCACCTACTCTGGATACCTTTAAAAATGCTTGGATGCTTATCTTCCTGGGGTGATCTAACCTCAACTGACTTCCTGCCCCTTGGGAAGGGGGCTAGACCCGATGATCTTGCAAGGTCCCTTCCAGCCCTAATGTCTATGAAATCTATTCTTAATTTAAATCTATGATGATAATTGACAAAGTCTTTCCATCTCAGGGGGTAGGAATTAGCAAAGAACAAATAATGCATTTTTACCATGTTTCCTTAAATACTAGTAAAGTGCACTTTAAACTATATTCATAAATCATAAATTTTGTTTAAATAGAAACTGTTAGCTAAACAATGTAATCACCTGACAACGCTATACCTCAGTTTCTTGCTATGTCCAACCATGTTGAGTCCAATTGCATTCCCTTTCAAGTCTCTCAAACCTCCAGTTTTGCCTCGCCTTGTATATGTCTTTATGGACTCTCCACTGGTGCCAATAGTTCCTAGCCGACAATGTAGTGACTATAAGGAGACAACAAGCAGATATTAAGGGGCGACAAGAAAATAAAACCAGTAACTTACCAAGTATTTATTATGGTCCAGGTTTACAATGTATTGGCACTGATTTTTAGAAAAATAAAAGACTTTTATCTAAAACTCACAGAATCAACATTTTTGTAAACTCACTGTTCAAATGAAAAGATCAAGAAAACTTTTCAGAACGCTCTCTAAAGATTGCTTAGTTTATTTTTCCTGAAGGGTACAATCAAAGGAACTACAAAAAAATGTAGAGGAGGGACGGGCAATTATTTCAGGTGAAGGGTCGCTTACTGAGTTTTGGCAAGCCGTCGAGGGCCTCATGACAGGCAGCCAGGGGCAGATAAATATTAATTTTCTAAATTTGTTAGGGTTCCTGCGGGCCGGATAGAATGGCTTAGTGGGCCACATCCTGTCTTTGAGGGAGACATGTCCTTTTATACTGAAAAATGTGTAAGCCTAGAAAAATATACGCATATATATATACACATATATATATATACACACACATATATATATATATATATATATATATATAGCTATATATGCTCCTATATATATTTATATATATAAATTCTAATCTAAGTGCAACTTTCTAGTCCCAGTTAACGTTACTGTTAAAATTTCTTTTTTAAAAGCCATATATGAATTTTATGTTAAATAATTTAATTCTACATCTATTAAAGAAACAGATTTGCTACAGCTACCAGTTGCTGTTACTGGAATTCTTCAACACCTACAAATTCATCACGTATGGACATATGATAAATTCTACATTTGGTCCAATTCACTGAGGTGCTCTTTTCTTGTAATCTATTAAGAAGAAAACAGCCTCTCCTTCGCTACATATTTCTGCTACTGAGAACATTCAATTTTTCAAGAGTTATGAAGTATCTTCACAAGTTAGCTCAGGAACTGCTGTCAAAAAGAATTACCACACTTTAGTGCCCACTCCCACTCCGCCCCCCCCCCAACCAAAATGAATATAAAAATTGGGAAGTGCGTCACCAGGAATCAGGACTGTCCAACTTCAAAGAAGCCAGGGGCCACATCAAAGTACGCCATATTACTCCCCCCCAGCCACATACCCCCTAGACACTTCTCCCCCTCCAAAAGTACACCACACACCTCCGCAAGCACCACTCTGCTATACCATGCACCCATGTCCCCCCTGCTGCACCCTGTGCTCCAAGGCTCATCCTCAGTCCCCCAAGCTGCTGCGCAGCCCCATTTCCCTGGGGTGAGGAAAGGAAGTAGCAACCAAAGGAAGTAGTAGAGAAGAGCCCACAGTCTGGCTACTGTTGCAGAGGCAGTGGACACTAGGAAGGAGCCTAGAGAACTACAATTTAACCTCTTACAGGCTCCATGCAACCTACAGGCTGCCAGTTGGACAGCACCTCTAGGTATCAGAGAAAGAAGAGGGGAAAAAAAATCTATTCAAGAGCAAATCTTTATAAGCCTGTAACTGGTACATATCTAGAATTAAAACCGACCATTCATGTTAATAATTTCAGGCTACGGCACAATAAGCATGTTTATAGAATGGAGAATGAGAATAATAGTAAAGATATGTAAATAAGTAATTTTTCTGAATTTTCTACACAAAACATATACACTGATCTTCATTTTTGTTTAATAGATGGGATCGTAACACTATTTTGTTTAAAACACTTGATATAGTTAACATAATATATATTAAATTAGATACACATATATCACTTACCTTCTTTTCTTCATTGGGAGTGAAGGGCCCATCAATTTCATCTATGCTGAGCAGATTTGCCTCACTACACAATTAGGGATGGAAGAGAAAAGTGGATATAATGTAATACAGTTCAATGCCAACAAAATATTTTAAGCCACACACAGGGCCACAATACACAAGTTAACCTGTCTGAATTAGAGTCAGGCACCTATGTAGATACCATACAATGATCCCAAACAGCAGGGCATTTTATAGTGGGTGGCATGATAGTGGAAAAAACATTAAAATTAGTTTGAGAATTTACATGAAACTTGTACAAAGAAAATCTAAATGCAAACAAAAGGGGAAATATGAGGGGAAAAAAGTATTTTAAAATGCCATAATTAAACAAATGCAAATATTCAAAAGGCAACTACAGTTCACAGAGTTATATACATGGTAGTACATCAAAATATCAGTTGGCTATTGGATCAGCACCACTAAAAGAAGAAATTATAAATGAACTTTTTTTTGGTCATTGTAGCTGACAGTTATGGCCACATGCCCGGAACACACTGTTAAGTGCAGTCTGGTCCGAGCCCACAGCAGATTACAAGTCCCAGCGAGTAGAGGGAGGGGATGCCGGGGAGCGAACACAAGATGCTGTACTCAGCAACAAAGGGACGGTTACCTGCTCCTGCCGCTCCTGCCATGGCAACACCATGTGCGCAGCAGAGGCCTGAGAGAGCTATAGGAGGGGTGGGTTCCCGCCACTGCGCACCCCCCCCACAGGGGAGGAATGGGGGGGGGGGGGGGTGCCCCCCCCCCC